TTTTCCTCCCATGCAAATTCAGATAAACATTTTGGTTCAAAGCACCTTGACCTATATTCAGCTTCCAATTCTTTCTCGAACTTAGCTCTTATGGCTAACTCATATTGCTGAACAAATAGCTTCAAAGTGCTTTGCCGGTTGATGAATCCGTCAAAGAAAGCATGCATTCCTTCACTTCTTTGTGTGGACAACATCCCAGCCCAAAAATGGTCATTTAGGTATACCGGAACCCATTTCTCCTTCTCCAAATAAAGCTTATAAAACCAATCCCTTTCCTCTAAGTTATATTTTTCAATAAAATCAGTCCATCGTCTCTCAAACTCAGCAACGTTAATGCTATCAAGGACTAAAGCCTTAAATTTACCTTTGCAATCTTACCATCAAGAACTCCGCTTAACTTCGTAGGCAACTTTGCGAATATGTGCCATATACAATATCTATGTATTGTATTTGGCATCATAGCACTGATGGCAGCCTTTATACTATCACATTGGTCAGTCATGATAGCTAATGGATGAACATTGTTTAGAGCCCCAAGCCATGTAGATAGCACCATTTTGTAACTTGTTATATCCTCACTAGACATAAGAGCACATCCCAAAAGTATGGACTGCCTATGCTGATTGACACCAACAAATGAAGCAAATGGCATATTGTATCGATTCACAAGGTATGTGGTATCAAGGCATATTACATCATGGAACTCCTCATATGAAACCTTAGAGTGTGAATAAACCCATACGACATTACGAAGTCGACCAAAACTATCCACATCTACGGAGTAGTAAAATTCCCTATCTTTTTGCTGCATGTCACTGAAGAACTTGAGTAATGATTGTGCATCCCCTTCTTGCAACTGAAGCTTTCTACTCTTCAAGATATAATTTCTACAGTCCTTTGGTGTACAAACCAGATTTTCGGGGCCACCAGCAAGTACTTCAGCGACTCTTATATTTTTTGAGGGTCTTAAGCCAGCAATATCTTTGGCTGCAAGAGTTCTCTTAAGAGACTTGCTAAGCGATCTGTGTCCAGCCATCAATCGCGATAGTGCTGGTTCCAATTGATGATTATGTTTTTTTACCACCTTTGAAACACGCCATGAACCATTCTCCTCCAAAATTCCATTTATTCTAGCACGGCAGTTCTTCCTCTTGGTAACATGCTTATTCCTTGGTTTCCTAGACCTATCACAACCATATTGCACATACCTAACAATATCACCACCTTTTTTGTTGGACGTTCTTTTGACAATGCAAAAACCCGATAATCTTGCATGTTCTTTGTAAAAATCAAACAGAACATCCTTACTACTGAACCGCATCCCAGTAATTGGACCAATTATAAGATCTTCTTCATTGAACTCATTAGGCATTTCCCTGTCCTCTCCAACTTCTCCCTCTTCCTCTAAATAATGGCCGTCGTAATCATCATCATCATCATCATCATCAGCAGGAGCAGCATCATCGTCAACAGGATTTTCTCCATCATTGAAGTTGCCGTCTGAATCAATGTCGATTGATTCATCTTCATTCATCAAACTGTAGTCCGAATTCAACCCTAATGATATGTGTAATGCATTCCTTAGTTGATCCGACCTAGTTTCTAGACTGTTATTCGGGTTTAATGGGTCTAAACTAGTTTCTCGGTTAGTATTCATGTTTAGGTTAAGGGAAGTGTGGTGAATTATGTGTTTAATGAAAGCTATCTTAACATAAGTATATGGTATGATATATACATAATAGACCTTTGATCTTCCCATCCGTATAAATTGCATTTAATTAAAAAAATACGTAATTGTATTTAACAAAAATACGTAATTATATTTTAAAAAAAAATGTAATTGAGCGTATATACGAAGGCTGCCATCCGTATATACGAAGGCTTTTTATCTTCCCATGCTGAGAGAATGATGATTTATGGGATCAATATTTTGGAATAATCAAAAGTTATTAACTAATTTTGGAGGGAACTATTTTGGAGGGAAAAAAGGGCCATTAAGCCAAACGGAAAAACAAGGGCATTACTGGCATTTCACGGGTATGGTCATTTTTTTGGCCACGCTGAGTTTGGCCGAATAGCAGCACTCAAATATAATAGGAAATTAGTAACTCCTAGTGTTTAACTAATAATTTGGTATTAAATACTTATAAAATATATTACCCTTAGTATTTTAAAATTATTAAAACAACCTTTATAATTTGATACACAAATGATTTGTAATTACATCGATCATTATTTAAATTAATCCAAAATTAAATTTCATAATTTGGTAAATAAAGTATTTTACTAAATAATGAATTAAGTATAGTAATTTATAGTGAATTTGAAGATTATATTTTTAACATATTCAATTAGAATTAATTAAGCTTAATTAAGTTAATTTTAAAGGGATCAAAAGATTAAAAGGCTGCAATTGTAAAGCCTAATGAAACACAATGTGACTATTTGATAAATAAATTTCATCCCAAAAACACAAGCACAATCGCTCAACCCGATCTGGAACTACCCCTCACATCCACCTTGGCAATCCATGCCAACTCTTGAGAGTTAATATAATCGTGCCACGTCATCCGCTCCCTCCACTTACAAAACAAACACAAGTGATCTGGACCGTCGATCCAAATAATCGACGGTCCAAATTTATTCCCACTTTTCCCTTTATTTAAAACCTCTCATCAGATTTTGTCCTAACCATTGAATCACACGGATCTAATGGTCCACGCTTTTTCCCCATTAACCAGTTTACCGGGTTTTATATCTGGCATTACAATGGTCATTATTAAAATGATCCAATGGTATACGATGCATCTCACTTTAACTCAGAGACCAACCAAGTGACCCCTAACCCTAATCATTTCTCACATTGAACGACCGCCTATCTTTCCTCCTTCCCTCTCTATTCTCTCAACCTCTCATCTCCCATCATTCTTCAATCCTTGCAGAAATTGGTGCAAGGTCATGAATTCGAACTTTACAACACTCAATCTGCATCCTACATACATGAATCTCGCCCGACTCTTTCACCTTTCATCACAACACATCAAATCCCCAAATCTGAAACCCTAGACCTAAAAGACGAAACTTCAATTCGTCTGATTTTCTCCTTTGTTCTTTCAAACCAGAGCCTGCATGGTTGTATCTTCAACTTTATCATCGTGATTCTTTCTCCAGAGGTCAAACACAGTGACCTCTAGACATTGGGGTTTGACCACTGGGTGGAAGGCTTCAATGGCCGATTTCCCTCTTCTCAAGTAAAATCCATCACTTATTTCCGTACCTTCCTCCTAATTTTACTTATCCTTTATCGTCATCATTCATTACCTATTTGAACTAATTTGAATGCCTAAGGCTTCAACATCCACTATAAATATGAGATTTCAATGCTCTCACCTAACATGACTTAGCAAAGGCGATTATACCTACCACTATCAGTTAAAGCATTAAAAGATTTCAAAATTTTAAGGCTTTTCGGTAAGTCTTGAAGTTCTAGTAGCTTTCTCTTAACTTTCTTTTCTCCCTTTCATTTTGCTCGAGTTGGGTTGCTGTATGTCATTAATTGGAGTTTGGACTCCTAAATGGTTAAACAAAAAGCTGTTGTTTGGTTTGCTGCCCGGCAGAAGGTCAATATACACTGATCCCCCCTCCTCCTTCTTCTTTAATTAATTGTATTGTTTCGCGTATATGATGTCTTTTCTGTTGATTAGCTCTTATTTGTAATGCATATCAGTAGCTCATGTTCGTGTTTATTATATCATGCCTTCTCATGTCGTTCTTGCTTATTGAATAAATTATCTCCTGAATGGTTATGAATGTGTTAATGTTGCTGGCCAATTGCTGATGTTAATGAACTTCACTTCTTATGATATAGATAAATAATAAATTCCTTCTTGATGTCTGATCCGGTTGAATCTCTTTATAAAGAATTGAACTAGGCCTAAACTAATGTTATGCATAATCTGTCAGTTGAATAATGATTTTACTTTTGTGTTTGGCCAACTTAATTGAATTACACCTTTTAGACCTTGCTTAATGTCATTTTAAGAGCTCATCTGCTGCACCATGCCATATGGATACTTATGTTTGTAATGTTATACTATTCTATGGATCAAATAAAAGTGATCTTCATCATAGTTCATATTATGCCTTTGAATTGTTTACATTGACTGAACAATTTATTATTGAAAAACCATGTCTGATGTGCACACCTAAGGATTCATGAAAATCTGTTATTATAACCTGAACTCATGTAATGAGTTTATCAGTTTAGTTGTCATGCAATCTGCTCATCTGATCTTGTAAGTGATCCTTAATGACTTCTATATGAAAGACTTCTATACTTGGTTAAGTGATCCTTAATGACTTCTATACTTGTGTTTACACATTGATGCTCATGTACCTTTTACCTGCTTGTCATGTAAGAAAGCTTCATGAATAAATCATCAAGTGCTTTGTTTGAAAACTGCTTTGGCAAAGAAGAAAATTGAATTTGTCTGCCCTAATAACTTAGCAGCCTGAGCTATACAGAATTTGAAATGGGGAGTTTACTGTTGTCACTCATAGTCTTGAGCAAACTCAATAATACTTGCTTGTCTTGTTGAAATGAACACTGCCCCGTGTCTGGGTCATATCCGTGTCTGTATAACGTAATCATGAATTTTGAATTAACCATAGACTAGATGTCCTGCTATTAAGTTTGAATTAGATCAAAACTGATCCGTCGGGCCTACTTTGATGTCTCTGCTGTTGTTATTATCATAGGAAGCCTATACTAGTTAATATAAGTGTTTAGTAGAATAAAGACTCAACCATATGTGTATGTTTACTTCTGATTGTTCTTACGGTCACTGAAAGACTGTTGAAGTACTATGAACCTAGTTGAGGTTCCCTGAAATACTGAACATTCAGCAGAACTAATGAGATTAATGTGCATGTCTTTCCAATCATTTTGATCACTAGCATTTCTAAACTAGAGTTGATATGCAAATAAATTCCACTTACTCCTTCTGTTCTTACATCAGTGTGACAGTTTTTCTTTAAGTGTTTTGATACATGCTATAAATGGTCATTGATACACTAAGTACTTGTAGTAGTTTGCCTACTTTGTGTTTGACTTCTGATTCTAAGGTTAATGGTGTAATGATAAAGTTTCTGTGGAAATTCTTGTTTGAACCTTTATATCTACTACTTCTCTCATGTTAATTGCTAAAGTGAATACCTCATTTGTATCTAAACCTTTGGGGAAGAGTAACTGTGAATGGTTAAGGGTATTTGGAGTGGAACATGTGCCCTTCCCTGGCACAAACACTGCTCGGTGTTTATGAAATCCTTATGAACTCTAATGTGCTATAGATTCAGAGGGTATTTTGCCATGGATAAGTTTAATATTAAGCCTCTAATCACTGACTCTTATTAATCCTTTTAGGGTTAATACAAATGAAAATAGTTTCACTGTATTCTTTAATATTGTTTACTCATTGTTATTTTGTTATATTGTGCCTCATGTTGGTTGCACTAATTATTTTTATTTTTCTCTTTTGCTGCACGTTTGAACTGTGGGTACTGAGTTCTTTAGGACTCAGGCCCAAGTTCAAGTCTAGTTTTCCTTTCCTGCTTTATGAAGCATGCTTCTGCTTTAGACCTGCGGGGCTTGGTCCACTGGCCCTATAACGAAGAGTCTAGTTTCCTTTTCCTTTCTCACTTTTAGACAATAAAATTTCTGCTTATTATGTGTATATATCTTTGGTACTAACATTATTATTGGATACTTCTATTATATATTGATTGTTTAAGGAACCTAGGCAAACCAAGGCCTATAGGTAAATAAAAAGAATCCGAGTTTATATCATATTCGCTGAAATACTTCAACGTGTGCTTACTTGTCTTGTTTGAACTGGAGATGTTTGTTTATATATTGCTTTAATTGTGCTTAACTTTCAACATATGTGCTTACTTGTCTTACTTGTTTATATCTATATAACCCGTTAAACATGTACTTATTTGCATGCTTTTAATGTTGTTACTGCTATCACAATTATATGTTACTACTTTATACACTGTCATCACGTTCTTTCCTATCGACTTTTGGCCTTACACAGTCACATACAAATGACACGCGAGGATTATCTTTTATACCCCTCCGTACCTTCTTTCAAAATTCAATAGTTTCAGAAAATAGCTTTGGTAGGTCAACTGACATAATATTTCACAGTGTTCAGTCCAACTCTAAAATTAGAAAATAGTCTAATCTAGCAAACATAGGCCATACTGCATAAACCTTAGGTGAGTGGGTCCTTGGCATTGACTCATAATTAGGAAACCCAACTTAATCCCAACGAGTCGTGCACCTAACGACATGCCTTTTGTGGAACAACGAATCAATCCTGTTGAGATGCTAAAGATCCAGATCAAACACTTACCTAACCTTTTTACCTCTCTAGATGGAAATAAACCGCAACGTACTCAAAATTAACAGGGTCATAGGTGCACTGCACAAGGTAAACCGGTGGTGGAGAAACATTCACCGAGAGCATGGGG